TTTCTTCCCATTTATAGTTGAAGACTGCCACCATAGCGTAAAACATCTACTTCGATGCATCATAACTTCCATCGTCCACGCACTTTGCTAACTGTTCTCTAAGCAACATCCGTGATGGTAGCCATGTCAGCCGGCTGGATCACTAGATGAACGGGGCGGGCTGGGCTGCGAGCGTTTGGAAAACCAGAAAAAACTGCGTCTCTAGTTCATATCCAAGGCGTTTGTTATCGCTCCCATGCGCGGGTCAGCCTACCATTCCATGTGTTGCGGTGCAGCCTCCGGAGCATTGCTGGGCAGTCTACCAGCGCATTTGACACCTTGCGCGACAGTATACGATACCTTCGGACACAATTCTCAGGCTGTCCCATCGCGGAACAGTTCAGCACCGGGGCGGCCTGAACTGTTCAGCCCTCGGCCTGAGTATCCCCTTGCGCTGGGTAAACTAGAAGCGCACATGTTGTGATACCACTGTAGCTGATCGCGAGTGCGTTAAACGATGCACGAGCCGTCTGGGCATATCGTGCAATATAGAGTATGTCATGCCGTACAGACATAGAACAACGGTGCTGATGATACGCTTCAATAACATCTTGGCTTTCCTTGGTTTTATTGGCTGTACCCCTGCTTTCTCTGACCCAATATAGACCCAAAAGCAAACGTAAGTTCATCGGCCAGGATTTGAAGCGAGCGTATCGCTTTTGACTCTGCCTGACCCCTGGACGGCCCACGGCAGCCCCTTGTAACTCAACGTTAGTTTTAGACTGGAAATATATCAAGGTGGCAGACTCAATCCGAGCCGGCAACGGTGAGATTGCATTCCCGGAAGCACGGTCAGCATAGCCATGACCCCTGAGGCGTGAGCTTCGGTTCAGTATAAAGCCGGGGCCTGGCTCTCCGAACACCGAGCTCAGATGAGCCCGGCTTCTCAGACTGAGACAATCAAGGACACGACTCTGACGCTCAATTGCACACCAATGTGCTATTGTACAGCTGTGAACCAGCGGCACGGACCCACTGCACCGTGTGCATTCATTATCTTGCGACGCACGCTGAATGCATTATCATCGTAATTTCTGAGGAATCTGCACCAGTGTCAGTCACCCTGTGTTAGCCTGACCTGATCTATCCAACCCTAGCCTGCCTGACTACAATATCTGACCAGTATTTTCAAAAGAGTTTTCCTTTTAGTGAGTTCGCCCTCGCTGTCCGCCGAGTAGGCATCAAATCCACGTTGCTTTTTTGTTATCGGGGAGGGGCATCAGCTTCAGCATGACTGTTACAATAAACCAAGTTAATGTGGTGCCGCCATCAACATAAAACAAGTGCACAGAACAAAATATTTGAATCTTGCCACACTTTTTGAAAAGTTTAGGCTTCACGGATGCATCGGTTCAAAAAACAAACATATAACCAAAATAAGACATTTGTGTCAGGGACGGCGAACGTAGGCGAGGTGCAGAGCAGCTCCCGTCGCCGACAAAATGCATTAGCCCAGTGGCTTTTTATGGAAAAGTAACGCGATAAGAATCGTGTCTACCATCCCGGATCTCCCAAAAGGATCAGCTGCTGCTTGATTCTGTTGGACAAGCATGCCTTGTGTCACCGCCACGCCAACACGAAATATTCGGCAGAGCAACGGCCAGGGCAGACCTGACATAGAGCACAAGGTGATAAGTCCAAGCAGACCAGACATAGAGCACAAAGTTATAAGTCCAAGCAGACCAAACGTCGAACACAAGGTCATCAGTCTGAGCAGACCAGACATAGAGCACAAGGTCATAAGTCCAAGCACACCAGACGTCGAACACAAGGTCATCAGCCTGAGCAGACCTGAGCAGACAAGGTCACAGTCCAAGGCACACCAAACGTTGAACACAGAGTCATCAGTCTGAGCAGGCCAGACACCGAACAAAAGATAACCAGTCCGAGCAGACCAGACATAGGACACAAGGCCATCAGTCCGAGCTGCTGCACACAAAACCCAGGTGCGTCACCGACGGCGTCCCGCCCACTCGAGGCCATCCAGTCCTGCAGCGCACATGTTGCACAGTACCCGGCCACACGGCCGCCGCCGCGCCGCGCCCGCCTGGCCCGGGCACAGCCCGTGCCCCTGCGACGCCTCGCGAGGCCGTGAGAGCGGGGGCGCGCCAGTGCTCACCTGCGTCACCACAAACGCTGGTCAGGTACGACGCGCTGCCGTCGTGTGTTTGGCGCGAGCGCGAGGCGCCAGCATCCCGCCGTCGCCGCCGATCGATCGCCTAGCTTCGTACAGCGGCCGCCAGGTGGTAGCCGTATCGCTCGACCAACCAACTTGCCGAGAGGGGAGGGGTGGGGGACGTCTTCGAGCGGAGATGCTGCGGCAAAGGATTAACTGGTTTATGGCAAAATTGTTACTGGCGCTCCCAGGAGAAGCTTCGATCCCGACGCGCACGAGCGGTCTCGTTGGTACGCCTGTTGCAGGTGCCTTGCGGTCAGGCTTCTCGCGTACCATGCGGCGAGACAGTGGAGGCTTGGGCTACAGCATCTCATATCGCTGTGTGTATTCCTTACAGATCCGGAGTTTTTCAGCAACCCCTACCAGGCACTAGCAGAGCACAGCATGGAGCCAATCCTCCCCCTCCCAGAGGCCTTGAGGTGTCAAGGAAGGATGGTTGCGTCATTTCCAAAGTTCCCATCTTCTTCGATGAATGCAATTCGGGAACTGTCTCATGCGCTGAAGGGGAGCTCAAGTATGAATACACCGAGTCCTTCGCAAATTAAATTGCAGCTGTGACAATGTATGCCAGTGTGCGGCAACCGAATCAACAGTTTGCCAGGAGCAAAGCCTTTCGTACATATTTTCGTTTCCAATGATGCCGTGGGCGCAATCGTCAGTTTGGTTCCCAGAACTAAAGCCTCGAATAAAACTTCGTGCGTAACTATGACACTCGCCTAACCGAATCGACCGTAGGGCGATTCATGAGGGCTCCAATATATCTAACACACAAGCACACACACACACACACACACACACACACACACACACACACACACACACACACACACACACACACACACACACACACACACACACACACACACACACACACACACACACACACACACACACACACACACACACACACACACACACACACACACACACACACACACACACACACACACACACACACACACACACACACACACACACACACACACACACACACACACACACACACACACACACACACACACACACACACACACACACACACACACACACACACACACACACACACACACACACACACACACACACACACACACACACACACACACAGCAGCGCCCTACTGAAATGCCGGTTACACTGAAAGCACGCACGTTGACACTTTGTGTGTGCCGTGAGGGAATGCAGCCGGATCGGCAATGCGAACGAATAATAATCCAAACTTCCCTAGACTCTCTGGTCGGCATGACCGCGCGAGCTTGTGGAGAGTGTGACGTTCGGGAAGGGCGTTTGGGTCGCGGCTGTGATCAGCCCATCCGATGTTAATGAAGCGTCCGATGACACAGATGCCGGCGACAGATGCCTGCGTGACAACCGTAACGAGGTGGAGATGCACATATCAAGCTAAATGAAATTTGTCAATCAAACATTCCAAGGCTTAACGCAGACACGTGCAATGTTTTTGCATATTATCTAACACTTACCGGAAAAGTGCGCATCATAGCCTTTTTTGTATTCCGACACACGACATGCATCGGAATACAGAAGTCTTCAAAGACTGAGAGCACTGAATGGGACGTAAATTAAAATCAGCCATAACCCTATTCCGGTAGATACTGTCACAGCCAAATTTCGTCTGTTAACAAAGTTGATCGCGAGAATTCAATATCCATTGCCAGTGCAGTGTCTGAACGGAACGCGGTAGACCGCAGTCCTATTACATTCCTTTCTTGGCTACTTTTACTTCGAATCTGCTATGCGGTAATCAGGCGTCTGCAATCTTAATGAAACGCCATGGAATTTAATTGCGCTGCCATCAGCGTTCCGCCGGTCCACGACAGCCAGGCTCAGGGACTAAACGCATTTTTTCATCATGTTTATTGATGGCTGACTCATGCTTTCTTCTGAGCCTGCCAAAAGTATGACGTTATCTACGGAAAGCATGACGCAAGATTGACTGAAAATGTGTGAGATTGCAGTATGTGTTCAACGTTGGTATGCTGGGTTATCGAACTTCATTTCATCAGGCCAGTGGGGTTATAGCGTTATAAGTTGTCAACAGCACATCAGTTTATAGCACGATGTGCTTTAAGACATTATAGTTTAACAATATTGTATGGTTGGCTAAATGACCGCACTCAGCGTTTTAAGCTGTTCTTATGTGATCACATTAGGCTGTTACCTCGTGATGATAAGAATCGTATTCACTCTGATCGTTAGCACAGCTTGAAACGGCGAGCGCTGTCAATATAGCCAATGTTTGCCCCAACACGTCGTTTACCCAGTATTTCCTCGTATATTGAAGGTCGATAACTCATCATTAGAACTCTGACCTCATGCGTAATGCCAGGAAAACCAGGAGCTAAAAGCCTTCTCGCTTATATTAAATATATCTTCAGATTGCAGTACGTCGGACATATATCTAACAAGCATTCCTCTGCGCCATTCATGCTTTATTTGACCGTTGTAAGTCTAGACCGAAGCGACGCCGCAGAAGATACGCACGTCACGAGAGTGGACGTGTCTTTATCTGTGCAGGGAAAGGGATCTATCACTTTTCCCATATGACACATGATCGCATTATCAAGCTACTCACAAACGGCATGGTGGCCGGCACGGCGCCGCGGCCCTTCGAAAACGATGGCGCTCATGTGACGTGAGCCCCGCGTCACCTGCGCCCAGAGCACAACCCAGTCCATCAGCCGCGTCACGATGACGTCACGATCTCCCCACCGACCGTCAGCCAGGTCCGGCTGTACGTCACTGCCGCCCGATGACGCGGCTACCACGTCAGAAGCGGCGCCGGCCGGCCGCATTGTGGCGCGTGCTCTTCAGCTGAACAGTGGCGCTGAGACGCGGCCGGCCGCGGCCGCCGGTCACCAGGGGGCAGTAGGAGCGCGTGTGGGCCGTGTCGCCCGTGCCCTGGCAGAGCTCGCACACGTGGGAGCGCAGGATGGGGCACAGCACCCGGCCTGCCATGGGGAGACAGAGGTCAGGCCATGGGTCAGCCGTTCGCTTCTTGACGTGCTGGGCAGTGGGCACACACCTGTGTCCCGTCCCGGAGGGAAAGAGTCGAGCCTCATACGACTCGCGAACAGGAAGAGCATCGCAAGACCTACAAAGGTCTCAGCAACACTTACTGTAGGTCTTGTGCTAGTTGTGAATACGTCTGCGGAATCAGAGCACAAGTGTCTGCGGACAAAAATACGATTCCATGGCAGTAACATGGAAAAAGACATTATGACAGGGTATGTCCGGGTACTCAAGCTAGTGAATCTGGCCTCTGGGATTGCATTCGAAGTTGATCGATTACTATTTCCTCTAACAGCCGACAACCATACCTGATCCGTCACGAAGGGAGTGAGATGTCACCACCTCCTTGCTTTCGCCGTTCTTTCGGCAAAATGCACATGTAGTTTTTCCTGCGGAAACGCAGGAGCATTTATTTATCATCATTGCTTACAGTGAAATCACTCTTGTCTGGTATTCACTCAGAAAAACCTCAGATGTTTCTAATAACAACGTCAAACACGCTGTACGAGACAGTTGATAACAGCTGTGTGCTACCACTATCTAACGAACCAACGCAGCACCCACGTCGCACCAGTAAAGCTTGTCCTAATCCTCATCGCCTCCAATTGATACTTTGGTGAATAACACGCAATGCACTTTGCGGGAAGATCACCGCCCAATATTTGATCCCAAGCAGTAGCACAAGCAGGGGGAGGCACAGGGGACACGTGCTCTCTCCCGCTTAGGTTCCGAGGGGCCCTTCGGCCCCTCGGAACCTACGTTTAAGGGCCCGAAAAGCCAGCCAGAGGCCTCATTCAGGGGCCCCGGCCCGCAGAGCTGAGCACTCAAATGCCAGCCAGAGGGCGTGCGCGCTGATCAGGGGCCCACTGAGTCAATAAGGGTCTATGTTTCGGTCAGACGGCACCAGAAACGCACAGTCGGCTCCGTGGCGGCATGAGCCTAAGAGGTCATTTCCCAATTAGGGGCAAAGCTAGAGCCAGCGTTTTCATTGCTCGGGGCCCTACAACGCCTCATAGGGCACTCTGTTGCCAGGGGGCCCCGAGTCGGCCAGAGGCAGTGTTCCAGGAAGCCCGAAAAAGCCTGCAGGGCCCGGCCCATTGGAGAGCTAAGAGCATAAAGGGCTGGTCAGTGTCTTATTCAGGAGCCCAGACCTTCGAAGACAGACCCTCGAATAACGGTTCGAGGGACCTTTGTGCCGATCGCGGACCCCCTGAGTTCATAAGGGTCTATATGTCGGTCAGGTAACACAACACCACACAGTCGGCTCCGTGTCGGTATGGGCTTGAGGACCCACTTTCCAATGAGCTGTAAAGCCGGGGCCAGTGATTTACAGTGGTGTTTGCCTTGTGTGTGTGTGTTTACAGTGGTTTTTGCCTGCCAGGGGCCCACAGCTCCTAAAAGGGTCCTGTGCTTACAAGGGCCCTGAACCGACCAAGGAAAGTGTTCGACGAGGCCCGAAGAGGGCCCGTCGAATTGCCGGTCCATTGGAACCGACAACCAAAGGCCCGGTACACACATATATATATATATATATATATATATATATATATATATGTTTGATTAAAAATGACTGCTGACTCAGCATTGACGAGCTTTTTGATGCATCGTTCTAGTTTCCGGGCCTTTGACTTGGCACCATCGCTTAGACTAAAGATGGTTCGCACAAAATTACTTATATATTCATCACTCCTTCCATTCTAACGTTTCGAGATCCTATCTCATCGTCGGAGAAGACTAAATTGCGCAAGAAATAAGTTTTGAGTTTTGAAGGATGAAAAATTTTGCACTTCTGTTGGAAAACATTCTTTTGGTACAGAGAACATAAATGAAGCATAACTAATTGAAGGAAGACGGAATCCTATTTTCATTTTCATACATGTAAGAAACACTCATAATGGGAACACCACAAAGACACAATGGGAACACTATTGCCACAATCACATCAGAAGCGCTCACCGTTCACCACCTAATAGTTCAAGAGTTTTGCAAGACTTTGTCTGTCTGTTTACGGCCGGAGAGAGTTCGTTAATGAATATGCTTTCCCAAATTTGAAGGCGTCTTCTGACAATGCGCGTCCGTAAAATGTCAGTGCTGTCTGTCAGTTGTTGTTGTGTCAATGTCATGTCGTGTTCGTGTCGCATGTGGTCCAGAGGCGCCCCGTCACGTAAGTGCATTGTCAGGCGTCGTGAGAGTGTCGTTGTGGTCACACCAATGTAGTGTATGGGACGAAGTTTGCAGCCTTCGATGTTGCATTGGAACTGATATACTACATTGGTGCATTTTGGTTTGTCGGGTTTGTCTGGGCTGTTTTAGTTTTAGAAAAAGTTTTAGAACAAGAGCAACAGGTATGTTGCCCTGAACTAAAACAAAAAGTACTTGACGAACTCGACGTGATTGAATGTGATGCTAAACGTCTTACTAGAAACAGAATCGTGAAAAAGCTCTCAAGGCTCCATGTTGGACATATAGTATTACCGTAAACTGCTGGCGGTTACATCAATTTACCTCAACATGATCTTACTGAGGAACAAAAAGAGGTGCTTAATATTGGACTTAATTGCCATGTGTTGTCGAAATATGACAAAGCTAAGAACAAAGTAGAACTAGCAATTCTTTACCAGGATATCTTGAATTTGGAAAAAGAGAACAAGGTTACCGTGGACAAGGATCTAAAGAACAGCTTACTGGGAGAGAGCACGAAAAAGCGTTGAAATGACAGGAGCAAGATATTTACACAACAACTCAGGACGGCGGCGAAGGAACTTCGAGAAAAAGACATCATCATTCGGCGAGCGGACAAATCATCACTCTACGTAATACTTGACAAAAAGGAATATCATGAGAAACTAAACTGCATCTTGAACGACGACGAGAAGTTCCGGCGCATCACAAAAGATCCAACAGACAAACTCAGGACCAAGCTTAACAAACTAATCACTGCTGCCAATGCCGCTGTTGATGGCATACACGTTTCCAAGATAACGGGTGAATTCAGTAAGCTAGAATCTCTTTTAAACTAGGGTGGGAGTGAAAAATTACATCGCAGAAAGACTGTGCAGGAGTGAAAAATTCAATGTAGAAAAGATGGAACTTATGAGCTAGTGACCGATGATTCAGCGAACAAAGGCACCTATTTCAGGTTGGCATGGACGTATTATCATAAACCTGACAAAACTGTTTTGTTTTTTAACATCTTAGGCCATTTAAGTGAAACAGAATACATCAAAACATAGCAACTTCATGACAGTGTAATGAGCATACAAAATTCATTAACAATAATAATTTGATGCTGCACTTTGCACTTCCCTTTCACATAATTTTTATCACAAAACAAAGTAAAGTGGTTCAACAACAAAATAACAGCGGAAAATTCAACAAGCATAAAACACTCAGGCAAAAAAAAACCTTGGACTCCTACACATCAGCCAATCACCAAGTCAAACAAAATACACATACCCCTGACTTCTGTTAGATCAAACATTTTGTCACTGTTTCTTACAAAATAACAATGCTTATTTCTATGAAAATAGCCTCACTATGTCTAGCCTAAAGAGGCCTCACTTCATCTCATCATGTCTAACCTGTCGGTATCACAGCAGAAGTTGTGAGTTGCTGATTCCTGCGCAATTCCTATTGTCACTTGCCATGCACTTAACCAACTTAGACTAACTTAGAGTAGCCCCTATGTTGAACATCATCTCAACTCACCTATCTGTTGACAGCAGCACTTATGAAAAAAACATGATAAAGCTCATTTTTTGGCTGGTTTCAACTTGCATCTTTATTCAGTTCAATTCTGTATGCTCGTTGACATCAGACAAAGTTGACAACACACAACACTTAAAATCACTTTCAACAACTTATTCTGATTGTCATGGTTAACCTCTGTCAGGGACAATAATGGGTATGCTCCACAAAACAAACGCTCTTCTCCGAAAGTAACATAGCTTTTAGATGACCATGCCAGTTTTGCTGCTTGCCTTTTCAGCTGCAGCAAAGGCATCTATTTAGGCTCGTTTATTCATATTTAATGACACCATTTGAGATGTCGGTTTCACATTTTAAATGGGATGGTCTGACGATGTGCTTCGTGCTGATATTTGCTCCATATTACAATTGCTGTGTAGCGTAGAGTATCCCAGTGTTAAAAAATAGTGCATGTATACAGTACAGTCATTTGCCAGTCAGCAAACAATGAAAACTATGAAAAACATCTGGTTAAAGCAACCATGAGGGATCACTTCACCACAGTTTGCACTGTTTGCTGACAGTCAGAGCCATCCCACTTACCCTCCAAACATAAATATCAATCACGTCCACCAGTCAACGAGATTAAAATGCGAAACAAGTAAGAGGTGCGCATGATAAACATTTCTGGAGGACAGAATTTCGCCATCAAACACTTCTGTATTAGCTGCGTCAGGTCTGTCCCAAAGCTCCATATTGCAACGTAAGGATAGCCTTGTCAGGGGGCCTGATGAGTTAGACGCTCGAAAGGCTTATATTTATCATTATCGAGCACCACCATGAACCAAGAAATGTGTAACCGAGGGTTTAACAGGGCAAAATAGCATTAAAAGTAAGTTCCGTGCTTCAAATTGTCTCCTTCATTCCCCGTGAATTGTTCACTCCTGAGTGTATATCAAATATGTTTTGGCGGCTGGCGAATTAATCCAATTTAGGTATAAAATGCGTGCAAGTTTCAAGTTGGAGCATCTTGCAGAGAAATTGGTCGACATTTCAAACAACAGATGGCACCTCTAAAGGCAGTGGGAAAGGAATGAAGAATAAAGTGGTATCACACTCTTATAATACCAAGAAAAATAAAAGTAGTTACATGAATAGAAACTGATACTTCTTTAGAAAAAATTATGTAGTCAGCTGATTTTACTTGAGATATGTTGAAGGTGCTCAAATGGGGATATATTGATTTTGTATA